ACCATTCACCATAGAGACTTTTTCGTGCTATGAGCCGTTGCAAGCGTTTCATGCTTCTAGATGCCTTTGTTTGAGTGATGTGAGGAAGGCGGGAAAGCCGGTTGGTGGTAAGTTCCAACGTACGTCATTTCTCATCAATCGTGGAGTTCATGGTTGTGAAAATGCTGTTGAAAATAATTATGCCTCTTAATTTTGTTGCTGTGCGGTGCTGAAAATTATGCGAAATGTCAGAGTGTATTATAATATAGAATGCTGCGATTACTTTTTTATAAAAGATTTACTTTGGGTTGTAATGCAATGATTCCGCACACTCTTGGCATTTACAATGTGCTAGTGCTTGTTGCATTAACATAAATGGCAGATTACGTGGTTCTTTCAGAGAACATGACTCGTCATTGCGTCACTGGCGATTGCTTGAATCAGCATGCATAAATAGTAGTGTTCATAGCGTGGTGTTGGGAGGGTTTTCAAATTATTTCACCTTGTGGAACTTTAGCAACTTGGGTATTTCCAAAAATTATACTTGTGGCTCCTTAAAGCAGATTGGTATATACCACCCACTTTTATGTACAGATACTGCATTTCACATGCAAATTGTATTTATAGGCCCCAGTTTGTTTTCAAAATAAATGCACATTGATTTTAACATTGTTTTTGTCTTATAGCTAGGAATGTGCATTTAAATGTTCCATGGTTTCCATTTCTAGAACAGTGGTGGCCATGACTGCTAAATATTTTGCCTTGAAAATTTTAATTTCTTTGGTTCTTTTCAAAAAACCCAGTTTTTATTTGCTTGGATTATTTCTGTAAGATGAATTTAACATTAAAATAATTTTTCTGCCCTGTCATTTAATTTTGTTTTCCCTACTTGGAATTTGTATATTTGCTTGAAAGTTTATTTCATAAGCTAACCTCAGTGGTATAGAGAAACGTAATGAAATTGGAGGAGCAACATGCAGCCAATATTGGTGAAATATTGATATTGTGACGTGTTGCCGTGAGAGCAGCACAACAATGTCAATTAACTGTTTATTGACATTGTTGTTTTGTTTATTGACATTGTTGCCTTTGGCATTGTGTTCAAACATTGTTGTGTTTGTTTATTTACATTGTTGTATTCGTTATTAATTGTTTGTTTATTTACATTGTTGAGGAAAACATTGTTGTATTCGTTTATAATTGTTTATATCCGATTTATGGTGCTTCATATCATTTAACTTATTTCCTTACCTCTTCCACGCCCTTGAACCACAAGATGTCAAGATGACTAGTTTGTGCCATTGAACCCATATCTGTTGCACATCATTGGCAGATCCACTTGCTAAGCGTGACTACAATGGAATATTTTCGAAAATGACCCCGTTTTAAGATAGTTCTTTTCGGTCATTTTATTCGCGGCCCCCCAAGAACTGTGCTTAGATAGACTTGTTAACTTTTTTCTTCAGGCAAATATATACCTAGCATTATTCAACAGGTTATAGCAGCTTTGTTTCACGTCGATTCCATTATTAATCCATAGTTCATAACAGCTTCGTTGTTCCAGACTCTTGATACTTGCTTGGGATAAAGGGTTATTGACTGATGCGCATCTAAATATTAACAATTCAGGCCGTACCCCCAAACTATTTCTACATTAGTACCTCAGATTTCCTCAAAAAACCCAAACTTCATTTAACGTTGATGGGACCTATTGCACACCTTACATTGTTTGAAATGTTTGTTATGGTGGAGCGAACAGCAGTTAACTGTAGAAAATATTAAACGGTTTTGGATGATTTGCGTGATTTTGAGATTTTCTGTGGTAGTTTTATGCAGTTCATGCATTGTTTATGAAATTTCCCACGTCCACTGTTCTTTAACAGCAGGGGCAGTATACTATTACTAATTGAATTGAGGAGCTTTGTTATATTTGCAGTAGGGGCTTAATTTTTAGATATTTTGGAGCTAGGTATTTTTATTGATTGTCGTAATCCCAGGTAAAATTTGCCGCATTATAAATTCGTTTTGACATTGATTTTTTTTTAAAATTTTGTGTTAAAGAGCACTTTAATCCTGTTGGCAGTTAAAACTGCATGTTGCTATTAAAAGTGGTTGAGCCTAGTCTTGTTGGTTATTGCTTATTTTTAAACCACATCAGTGATGTAATGCACAGCATAACTTGTTTGTGCAATCAACTGGATAAGGCATAGTCCTTGAAAACAGTTCTCAGGTATTGGAGTAATCGAATTGGTCTGACAGAAGCTCTGTTGATGGTCAAAGCATAAAATGTTACATAGACTTTACTAAATGAATTATTTGACCAGGAACATTCTTATTAAATTATGCCAAGTACTACTATGCTTGTGTAACCTGATTGTAAATATCATTTGTTTCATGTATGAATAAATATGTAAAATAACATTTTTAAGAGCTAACAGAACAATTTAGCAACTATTTTTGACGTGATCATAAGTTCTCTTGTGCGTATATAATTCTCTTCTGGAATGTGTTCGCAGTCTCACATTTGACATGTAGTTGGCATTTTATAATTTGTCTGTATGAAGACTGACATTTTAGGGTTGATATGTTTAACCAAATAAAATGCTATGTGTACATTGATCAATAATGCTTATAAGTAGTCTGATCGGAGGCAGAGAAAGTGACATCTTTAGGATTTAAAAAATGCCATACCCTGAAATTGGTTGGCATATTTTCATCTCGTATTAAGAAATGGAAGTTACAGTAAGTCACTGACATTTTGGTTTTCAAAATTTCTTATAGAAAGAATTTGATCTTACGTTGTGCCCACATTTCTTTACTATTTATGAAACAATTGAAGGGATCGAGGACAGGTTCTTTGTTTCATTTTTCATTATGTCACTTCATTGTGTCCGCCATTGCAGTAGTCCATAGTAATTGCTGCTAAGACAGGTTCAATGAGTGTGTGAAGTTGCTGAACCTCAGAAAGATGCCTTATAGGCATGCCGTCTATTACACTGTCCATGAGGCTAGGACCAGGTAATCTTGAATCCAAATGTTAAGGAAATGCAGCGGAGTACAAAATTTTGACTGCTGCATTAGTTGTTTCTGGATCACAACGCTAGTGGTAAGAAGGCAACTGCTGCACTAGTGAAATTGGTGTAATAAAGGCCCCTTATTAACATCCCAGTTTCATTGGATTTATTGGTGATTTGTGGGCCATTTTGAGCCTTTATTTATTAGTAATGTTTGTTTTTTGCAGTTCTGGGAGATCATCTCTGACGAGCACGGTATTGATCCTACTGGTGCCTACCATGGGGACTCTGATCTTCAGCTGGAGAGAATAAATGTCTATTACAATGAGGCCTCTGGTGGTAAATATGTGCCGCGTGCCATTTTGGTGGATCTCGAACCCGGCACAATGGACTCTGTCCGATCAGGGCCTTTTGGTCAAATTTTCAGACCTGACAACTTCGTTTTTGGTCAGAGCGGTGCTGGCAACAACTGGGCTAAAGGTCATTACACAGAAGGTGCTGAGCTCGTTGACTCAGTCCTGGATGTAGTAAGGAAAGAAGCAGAAAGCTGTGATTGTCTTCAGGGCTTCCAGCTGACCCACTCTCTAGGAGGTGGTACTGGTTCTGGCATGGGTACACTGCTTATTTCAAAGATAAGAGAAGAATACCCAGACAGGATAATGAACACGTACTCTGTTGTACCATCTCCAAAAGTATCTGACACAGTCGTCGAACCCTATAATGCCACCTTGTCTGTCCACCAGCTGGTTGAAAATACTGACGAAACATACTGCATTGACAATGAGGCCCTCTATGACATCTGCTTCAGGACATTGAAACTTACAACTCCCACATATGGTGACCTGAACCATCTAGTTTCCCTCACGATGTCTGGCGTCACCACTTGCCTCAGGTTCCCAGGTCAGCTAAATGCTGATCTCCGTAAACTCGCCGTCAACATGGTTCCATTCCCACGACTCCACTTCTTCATGCCAGGTTTTGCTCCTCTGACTTCTCGTGGTAGCCAACAGTACCGAGCCCTCACAGTACCAGAACTCACCCAACAGATGTTTGATGCCAAGAATATGATGGCTGCCTGTGACCCAAGGCACGGCCGTTACCTCACAGTTGCCGCTGTCTTCCGAGGGCGCATGTCCATGAAGGAGGTGGATGAACAGATGCTGAACATCCAGAACAAGAACAGCAGTTACTTTGTTGAATGGATACCCAACAATGTTAAGACGGCTGTCTGCGACATTCCACCCAGAGGACTTAAGATGTCGGCCACATTTATTGGCAACTCCACTGCAATTCAAGAGCTGTTCAAGCGCATCTCAGAACAGTTTACAGCCATGTTTAGGCGCAAGGCTTTCTTGCACTGGTACACAGGTGAGGGCATGGACGAGATGGAGTTCACAGAGGCCGAATCAAACATGAATGACCTCGTGTCTGAATACCAGCAGTACCAGGAGGCAACAGCTGATGAGGATGCAGAGTTTGACGAGGAGCAGGAAGCAGAAGTCGATGAGAATTGAGCAGTTAAAACACCATTTTTGTATTGTATCTTGGAACTTTCAATATTTTATAATTTTGCTCTTTGTTACAATATAATTTCTTGTTCTTTTCTATCATGCCCATGACTACATTTTCAGCACCGCAAAGATAACCAGCAAAGCTGAGGTTTGCTCCGAGTGGAAAACTTGTAATTTTCATGTATTTTCACTGACATTCCCTGGTTGTTGGAAGAAAAATTAAGACTGAAAATGCATGTAACAATATTAATTTTGTAAATTTTGTAAGTGTTGGACCTTTTTTGTGTTGGCTTTCTTTTGCCTTACTTTTGGGATTTGAACCCTGATCTATTCATAAGCTTTCGTTTTAAATTGTGCCATTTCATGTTGAGAACTGAATTAAAAGGGCTGCCAAATCTGCATTTGTCTTTATTTATTATCTTAAATATGTTATCCCAAAACTCGGTTATTAGATGCAGTTGTATTATTTTCCCAAGTTTCATGACACATTTCCTGTACTACTGGTTCTTGGTTTACTAGTGTTCATTTTGGATAGCTGCTGCAAGGTGTGGGAATTTAGGGTAAGGTGCAGGTATAAACATTTTCCTTAAAAAGTGGTCTTACAGTAGTACATGTGTTTTTATGTTGCAAATAGTTTTACTCTTGGTAAGCTGTTTCCCAAGTGTTGCTTTAATTTTATGATTAGTTTTGCTGTTGGGGGTTTTATCAGTGAATTGACTGCTTATGATTGTGGAACCAGGTTACATATTTCCAGTGGGTCAGTATTGTCCCTTGGAATTCTTTAGCTTTCTGTGCAGTGGCTACTGGCGATATGTGGTCAGTGGAGCAGGTTTATTGTGCTTGTACCCAGGGTCGGCCCAGCGATTCACCTCAGAATACTGTTACCATGAACTGCTTCTGATATGAGAAGATTTATGGTAAAATACGCTGAATTCTCTTTCGGTTAAGCATCTTTCAACCCACAATTTTCGAAAACTTCGCTTCAGCTATTGTGGTATTTGAATGGATAGGTTTTTCCTCAGTCTACAAATGTGATGGCATTTAGAGTTGTGTGTTTGTCGTACCGAGTTAAGTTTTCACGGATAAGGTAAAGTTATCGCCATGATGGAGGCAGGAAGGACCTCTGAAACGTTTGTAAGCTATCTGACAACACGGCATTACAATGGTACACCAGTCACAAACCTTCAGATTTGTCAGTCTGGTTAGTATGTTCGCGTTCAGCTCTTGGAACAATGAAGGGAGAATCATACATCACGAAGTTTAAACAAAAACATTTTTAATTCTCGTCTTTCGCGTAATAGTTTCAATGTTTACAGAGGTCGTAGGACATGGGACATAGGCGCTTTGTTTCGTAGGCCATTTGGTGGGTGCTGCTTTATGGGTATTTATTTCTGTGGGTGGATTGTGATCAAAATTATATTGACTAATATTTATTTAAAAGGTTTTTATTACAAGTTTTATCATACAATTAAAAAATGGCAACATTTTCGTATGCCATAGACTGCTTAGATGGTAAAACGATCATGCTATTTTTTTAAAAAGTTTTCTGAAAAATGAAGGTTTCAGTTTTAACGGGGTTTGTAGAACAAGGATCTTCACTGCCTTTTCATTAACGCGGAGTGATATCACCGTATTATCCGCATAGTCGTATACACGGCAGTGATGTCACTTCGAATGACATCAGTTTGCTATTTTCTTCATTCAGTAGTACATCATTTTAAGGGTAAATATTTGACCTTTCTCCCATGAATAACAAATGCATCCCCTGCAGAAGAGTTGCGTGGTTCGTGTTCGTTATTTCTTGCGTCTTGGATTCGCGTGGCGTCGCAGGGCGTTTCTCGTGGAACTGGTTTGCTCTGCGGTGCAAGTTGTCTAATGCTTGAGGTGTGCAGGCATAACTATTTGTGAATGTGGGAAAGCCAGCCAGAACTTCTCGAAACTTATTTAGACGTTCAAGTGCGTTTTCTAATTCGATTATACTTGACATGCATTTTGCCTTTACACATGAACAGGACGTGGTCATTTCGGCACTTTTATTAAGGCCTACAAAACAAGGTTTCAATACCTGTAGTATGAGATAAAATGCAAGTTTTCTCGGTCAGGGTTGATGCAGCTGGTCGCCCAAGAGGATTTCTCTTTCACTGTGTAGGGATGGTTTGTAAATTATTTAACGACATTCTATCACTCGGATACTACTTCACAGTGGATGACTCAGTTGACTAGATACGTGCTGTGCCCTATCTCGTGCAGGGATAGGACATAGAGAGCATAATTAGAAAAACCTACCGAATAGGCTACAGAACAGGAATGAGACGCATTACCAAATGTTTAGTTCAGTTTTCTTAAATCCCAAATGTATTTAATTCGTTCAAGCTAGAAAAGTGTAAATAGTTTCGATCTTATTCATGATCTTCCCAAACTACTTCTTCATTTGGGTTTTGCTACAGTTTTTGAAATCCTTTAGTTATAATTGTTTCTGAATGTTAATTTCTAACTGCAGTTTATTATCCATTTTTGTAATTATTACGCATTCGACTTCTGAATCATGCATGTTGTGCCTTTTCTGTTTTTAGTGTTGTTATTTGCAACAGTTTGAATTGTATATTATCACCTCTGCAATTCCACGCCTGTAAATAGTATTATCTGTAAGGACGTGATGTAGTCAGACCCTTGGAATGAGTTTACATTCGAGCGCACCTTGTGTGAGCCTCCCACGGCGGCCAATGCCACCCAGCGCACTGCGGCCCGGAGTCTAGCTGGCACCATTATCGATTTCTCGCCTCGGGCGTACCGTTTCTGGTGCCTACACAGCCGAACCCAAGGAGCGTTACTTTACGTGTGTGTGAAGAGCTTATTTCAGCTACTTTGTACTTTGCTGGCATAGTAACGGCAATTTAAAACCGGGACATGATCGAGGTTCATTCATTGTTCAGCAACCCAGATATATCTCGCCTTACCGACGAAAGTAGGAAAGAGAAAACAGAGAAGGGGAATGAAATATGTCAGTAAAGTCTCTTAAATGCAACAGTATATCATTATTGTTTTGCGAGAGAGGGTTAAATCAACTTGTTTTTGTGCCAGCACCGTTCTCTTTCTGGAATTTAAACGAGCAAAATAATTTTTTCATACAGAGAAGAAAGGAAACTCTGAAATTTGGAACATTGTTCCTTTGTTTAGACACCACGACCTGGAGGACTATTGAAGACGCGATGGTTTAAATTCCGCACATTCGTATCCGTGGCACTAGCTGTTGTCTTTACCCCCAGAGGGAGATATCCTGCCGGGTAGGAAGGAGCCTTTGTGTATCCTAGAACATGATGAGAAAAATCCCCAAAGCTATAAATGTTGGAGAGTGCAACTTGGTGTGTCAACTACATTGCTTCTTCATTTAGAATAAATAGGCTATGACACCAGCATGGAAGGCACATCCGTCCCTGGTAATTTTTTCGCGCAGAAGTTCATAGACCTGCACTTCCTTTCCACTGCATAGTTTGCAAAACAAAACTAACATCAATATTTATGACAGCCCTCTCGCTTGGTTTGCACTTCGAATTCTGTTTCATACTTACGATATTCAGACGTACTTTTTTTATTTCAAGGTCATTCCTGATTGCTGTTCGTGATATTTCTTTTCGCCTCTTTAGTTTCCTTCACCTCTCCGTGACGGCGAGTAAATAGAAACTGCACTTATTTATTCTTTATTTGCATTGCCAACTTAACATGTAAAAGATAAACGAATAAAGAAACTAATATTCACAAGATAAGTGACGAAATGCATGTGAAATAAGTAGTAGGATATAACCTAAGGGAAAACCAGACATGATATGGTAGTAATGATAGGTACAATACATTTAACTAAATTGATGACTGCAGGGCAGGAGTCTTTTACTGAAAGTGCCTGAGCTGTGGCCTTCAGAGATTCATTTCATGTCTTCAGCGATTGAAGAATTGGAGTGTAATGATTGTGGAATTATCTGTAACACTTGAGGAGTTGGTGAACCGGAATCGGGCATTGGCAGAGAACCAGGTCGCAACAGAACGACAGGAGAGAAGGCAGAGTAGTGAGATGATGGCAGTATTTGTGAAGCTCTTGCACCTGAATCAGAATTCTGTACTGTAGAAGGACCAGGATTGGCTGGAGAAGCATTACTGATGTGGGAGTGTGTTGAATGTCTGAAGATTCCCATCTCTATTTGAAATAATATGTTACTGATCTCAAATTGTGCGATGGATTGTGAGCGCCTGTCGTTTAAATTTCGTAACTTAAAGGCGACGTGTTCACCAAAAATCGAAAACTCATCTCTTCCAGTGGTCTTCGTGTTCACATTTGTCATGAAATTACTGTCTTCAGCCACAACTGCATTCATTTTCCTAGGCCTCTTTGGTGCCAAGTCTGCGCTTTGAATGGAGCTCCTCTTGCCAGCGTCGTGATTGAGTGTTCTGTGGGGCTGTGGTTTTTCTCCGTCATTTTCCTTAAACAATATATATATAAACATACATACATACACGTGTGCCTTAATATACACCAACTTCGTGAAATTTTTCCAGCCAATTTTCTTGGGCTCCTATAATTCCTCTCTCTTAGGTATAAATATTCTCCCCAACACTCAATTTGTCATTCCCCAAGGGTGCAATAAAATAGAAAAATTAAAGAATAAGGCTACTGATATTTGCTGTCAGGACTGTAAGTTTCGCTCTACACTTCTTGATTTAATCTTTTTTCCTTCTTTGACGTTATAGGATATATTTCTGAATCGTTTAATTGTATCGTGAAAGAGTCCTAAATCCAGTTTATCTCCTTATCAGTCGTATCTTGGACGTTGTAATATTCTGAGATCGTCTTAAAATGTTGTGATGGACTTTTCCTGCTTCATGTTTTTAACACTGCCAGTACAGTTTATTTAATACGCACGAGCTCTTTTTCAGAAAGACCTGAGAGACAGAACTGTCTGAATACTTTCAAGAAACTCTTTCGACGTGAAATGCAATCAGGATCCTGAAAGACTACAATTTACTTGGAAGATACCTTCTTGAACGACAGCTGTTTCTCCTTCTTTCCCGTTTGTCGTGCTTGTGTGGACCAAGTGGCCGTCTTACATTCTGAAAGGCCAACGACATGGACAAATACGTGTACACGAGCCTGTCTGGTATGTATAGATCATGGCAGGATGCGAACGTGAAGCGATGGTCTGTACAAATAGGTGGTGCTTTTAGCTATGTCTACACTCGTGCGCTTTCGTTTTCAACATTCAATTCAACTTTCGTTTAGGGCATGCCTTTGTTGAATGCGTCAAAGGCATGCATGCCCCTAGCTGTCCACACTACGCTGCCATTTGTCAGGCATTTTTTGTTAACAGGAGAGAGGAACATGTCAGACGCAACTTTACTTATCGGCATAAGTGCGGCATATTTAGTTATCACAGGTGCATATGGATGAAGGATTATTTAAAGAAACGGTAGGAACGAAAATTACGTCAATTCATAATAAAAAATAATAATAATTATTACTATTATTACTCACTTCATAGTTTTCGGTGAAGTATTCCCCGGCATTTGTAGTTTCTTGGTTACTTTCCGTAATTTCCCTAGGTGTTATCGACTCTGTAATGAACAGCAGAGAGTTATACGCAAACCACGTGGAGGAGTAGTTATCTTCAGCGCCCGAACCACTTTTTATTTTAAACACTTTTTGGCGTTCCTTAGAAAAGTATGAACGCAAACTTTTTATTTTGTTTTTTACACTTTTCACGTCGATGTTTAACTTGCTGCTCATCTCAGTCAAAGCATCGCTCCGTTTTGTTTTATTAGTGTAGTCTCGATGGTTGTGGTCCCATAATAGTTGAAACGACCTGTAAATGTCGATAAACAATAAAGTTTCTTCTTCCGAAGACGTCATCTTCTAGAGGAATGAGACGCGAGACGCACGGCGTGTTGAAACAAAACCCACTCTCATGCTGGGAACACGTGCAATGAGGCATGCGCTGCTGAAACTGTTTCCGTTCAACTCTCTTCAGGCATGCGCAGACGCATGCATTACGTGACCTATTGCTTGCGCTATAACGCATGCCCTTGACGAACGTAAAAGCGCACGAGTGTAGACATAGCTTAAGAGTACGACGTGAGATTTCAAGTTCTTATGGCCGCGAAAGTGTAACTGTCTTCTACGACGTTGCTGCGTGTAGTCTCGACGGCAATGCTGTTTCAGGGGTGTTTACTGCCACCGCCATTAGGGCTATAACACAGGCAGCAAGGACCTCTGAAACGTCGGAAAATTTCCACCAGACTTCACGGCGTTACAACGCAGAAGACTCATATTTCCAAAGGAACGTATTTCAGAATGCATAAGATCAAGCTCTTAAAACTCAAAGTCGGAGTGAAAAACATTTAAACTGGACAGAATATGGGAAAATGATAATTCATGAAACTTCTGATTATGTTCTATGCATGCTGGTTTTTATGACAACTGCGTGACAGATATTACAGAAGAGATAAATCTTAGGTTGACAAACGTGATTGCCGTGACGAAGCCTGGACATCGTGTTGATGCGTAATGATGCTATTGGCTGGAACGAGCGAGCATATTACAGTAGCTGTCGCACGTACGCTCGTATTATACTGCGTTCCAGCATTTTTGGCCGCTGAACTTTGTGAATTGGAACCCCGGAGCGAGTCACTTACCAGAAGTTTGCTGGGCGGGATTGCAGCAGGCCGCGTATAGTACACTCCAAATAAAATATCACCACGGTATGTAACACAGGAAAGTTTATTTCACTACAGTACACATCACTAGAAAATTAACACTGCATTGAGTATTAGATACTTTTATCTTCTTCACGAATCTTCGGTCCTCTTTCAATTCTTCCACTCCTCATAGACCTTCGCTTTCTGGCATCACTCGATTCATCACTACCGCTGCTTCTGCCCACTCCATTATCTTCAATTATAATACGTTAAATAGCGTCTTCGATTGTGCTTTCTTGTTCATAATAGATTATTATGGTTTTTCCACCTGCTGACATTATTATCCCATTCCTCTTGCCCAATTTCTTCGAATTTCTGGCGTCTCAGGTGCTCGACGTCCTTATTTTCAAATGCTGTGTTCTTGCTTGCAACCCAATGTTTTACATCTGCCCAAATATGTTCAATGAGTTTTAAATCTGGATGGCAAGGCGGAAGTCTCAGCACAGACGTTCTTTGTCTGCTAAAATCCGATCAATCACATAATATTTGTGCTTTAACTTATTTAATTTGATTAAATCGTACAGTCGAGCTTTCAACACGTTGTCACAAAATGGGATGTTTCTTTCCAATATCCAGGCTTTCATTTCGTCCTTCTTTGATTAAGACGTCGGTGGTTTGTCTGTGATACGAGGCGTTATCAATGACCAGAAAGGAGATTGCAACGAACAGGTGGCATGTTGTTAACACAGCACAGTCACAAGACAACAATTGTCAGGTTTCCACACTGCTGCACTGACACAGACTGTACTGACCGACAGAAATTCCTTCCTTCCTTCATTGAGTGGTCCGCATACTGGGCACTCCCTACAAGGTCAGCGGCCATAATCGGTGGATCCAGTTCTACCATATCGTGAAGGCTGACGTCACCAGCCAAGTGAAAATCAGACATTCAAACATTCTCGACAGTAAGACAGACATACGTCACTGTTTGCACTGAGGAACATTTCGAGAGCAAATAGTAACTGGCTTCTTCAAATGGAAGACAATTCGAGACAGAGAAAGATACAGCCAAGGTTAAGATTCTGTTTGCAGTGTGGAAACTGCATTTCCATAACAGCCCAGGAAAATATAATTGTTTTATTGTTTGGAAGTATCAATTGCGCAAGCAAGAACTGACAGTCCTTCACTGTCATTCTTGAGTTGTCTATCAAAATATGCAAAATTAACAGGATATGTGAGTCTAAAAACAGAAGAAAACAATAAATGTGTTTTCACGTTCGCGGCTTTGAAATATGGCGCCAGCCGTCGTGAAATCGATAATATCGCCGTTTGACAGATTGCCTCGTTACTGGGTATATTTAGTCGTCATCTTCAGTTTCACGATGGATCTTCTGCTGTCAAGGATATTGTATATTCATTATCATGTTATTCTCCTTTGTCATAAAAACTAATCTGAAATTTTAAATGCAGAATTTTTATTCATGCTAATGTTCATTACCGCAAATAATTTTCTTGAGGGGGCGAGGCGTAAGGCTGAAAGGTCTCTCAGGGAGCCAAATTTCCTTGTGCTAGTCCTGTGTTCAATTATTGTGTTAGAGAACACAAAGATGTACTGTGGGAAATGTCTCACGTTACATGACGCTGGAAATAGGAAGACACGATCATCAAGCTACTCCATTCATAGAGTTCTTCTACCTTCTGAGCACAATGGTCTTACACTCCACAAAGTGTCTTCAGTGAAGAAAGAGTCATCTCCAGAAGTAGGACGGTCCATAATTATAGTGGCTGTGGGTTTTGGTGCCATGTAGATTCGTCGGTTGATGCATGAGCTTCAGACCTCAAGATGGAGGCAGCGTGTTTCTCCGAAAATCTGGAATTTACCGGCAAGTCTACATGACTCCAAACCCCGCGATAATATCATTATGTTCACCGCCGTCAAAACAAAAATCCCTCGCTTTCATTTATGCTACAACGTGATATAGTTGCTTTCTTTAAAAAAAACACTTAATAGAAATATGGAATTATAAAAACAATCCAATAATCCCGTTTCTGTAGATTGAATTTCTATAGTTCTTTACGCCTAGTAGCCACGTGCTCGATTGAGAAACAGTATTTGCTACTTGTTTCCACATCGCGTAATGTAAACGCCACAGATTCAGTTACAAATCGCAACATCCCAGAGGACATCTTCATATACGTCACCGTGTGAGCATTAAATCTTGCTGTATAATTAATTGCTATCTTGCAAATCTCGAACTGGAACCGGGGAAAATGGACACTGAATATGGCCGTCCTATGTGTTTGATTATCAGTAACGAAATTATTACCATCGTCGTCCAAGACATGGGGTATACTGAGGATATGGATTGAGGAGACTGCTATAAATACAGAGTAACCACGACTATATATTATATCGAACAAGAGGACAGCCAACAAGGAGTGCTCCTCCCTTTGGGTGTTGGACGGGGACCTACCAACTCTTCTCTGCAAAATAGAATAACGTGTTACTATCTTTCACACAGGAACCGCTCATATTATTAATGAGAAATGCATGAAAATCTTTGATCAGGAAACCTGACGGGGAAAACCACCTGGAAGACCAAGGCATAGATGGGTGGAGTGGGCAGGACTTATGTCTCATGGTAGAAACAAGTGGCGGGCTGTCTTTGAACACAGTAGGGAACCTCCCGGTTCCACAAGTGGAGTTCGTTGACCAGCTGATCGACTATTCGCTTCTCAAGGATTCTACTCCATTGAGTTGTTATTCTCTGTTGGAAACTGTAATCGTCTAGTCATGAGGTCGCACTCGGACTATGACCACCCATCAGGGATGAAGTAATGGCAAAACAGCGTTAGAAAAATGTGTAAGATCAACAATGTGTAACAATGCTTTACTCCGTTACCTAAGAAACTAATTGCGTCATCTGTTTATTCGACATTGTTATGTTACATTACTGCCGTCAACAATCCGCTTTCGTTATTGTGGAAAGAGCTGAGCTGTGAATCGCTTGTAGAAGAAGTGCGTCGTAGAGTAGATATTATTGTGCTGTTAAAAACGTTTTGGAATATCACAATTACTTATCTGATATAAGAATTATTAAGAAATCTGTGATCCTCCATTTCAGTTTTGATTAAATTGGTTATTGTGGGTGGACGTCGTGGTCTCTTTCAATTGAACAAAGTTTGAGGTAAGGGATTCCTATTTATTATTATTGTTCATCACATTTAATGTTTTCATCTGCATTTGTGAACTCGTGTAAGAGAATTAGGCAAAAAATTGACAGTGGAACCACGGTTCCAGAGAATTTGACGTAAATACGTCTCTGTATTTAAATTATATTTACGAAGGGGAGGTCGGTTAAAACACTAGGTCAAGTTTCCTAGGTAACAACAATGCCGAGTAAACAGATGACGTTTCCTAGGTAACAACAATGCCGAGTAAACACATGACGTTTCCTAGGTAACAACAATGCCGAGTAAACACATGACGTTTCCTAGGTAACAACAATGCCGAGTAAACACGACGTTCCCTAGGTACACTTTTTCGTTTCCCTTTTTCGTTACACTTTTTTGCCGAATGACCCTTCCATATAGACGTATTTACGTCAAAAAGCGTAACGAAGTTGTGTAAGATCCATATCAACAATGTGTAAATATGGACCGACGTCAATGGTCAGCATTTATATGAACTCCTGCGTGCGTTATGTTACCTAAGAAACTAATTGTTGCGTCATCTGTTTACTCGGCATTGCTGTGATACATTACTGCCGTCAACAATTCGCTTTCGTTATTGCGGAGAGAGCTGAGCTGTGAATCGCTTGTAGAAGAAGTGCGTTGCAGACTAGATAATTTTGTGCTGGTAAAAACGTTTTAGAATATCACAGGTACTTATCTTATATAAGAATTATTACATTTCACTACATTACATTACGGAGACGTATTTACGTCAGATTCTCCGTGGTTCCACTATCAACTTTTTCTATGACAGTACGCACAATTTGTTTATTTCGCGTGTAGTTGGAATTAAAAATGTCGAGCTGTAGTGGGAAACAAGCTATTCCTAGTATGTCAATATTAAGCGCTCCGGGATACAGCACCGTGTTGACTTCCATATCATCGTGGCCCTGAAGAACTTTGTTAAGCATTTACACAAAAGAGGTCGCAAATGCAGAATACTGACTTGACTTCGGAAAGGAAACTGCAAGGTCATCTATTGGGAGATGTGTGAACTATAGACGTTCTGTCTTTTATATACTGCCATCTAGTGGACGTAACGTTAACGGCCAGCGCGCACGAGCGGTTTTTCTACCGCAACTGCAAATTATTCTTGCCTGTGCACACGGACGATGAAATAAACGCATTGCCACTTCCTCACTCGCTTAGGCCTAAATATTTTCCTCAGAACATTGTTCATCCGAGTCTACTCTTCAATGCGGACGAACTCATCCTGACTGATGGCCAATATCTTCGTGGTTTGCGCAGGTCATCTTGTGATCCGGTGTAGTGAAACTAAAGAGGTTACTGAGGGTTTCACATCTGGATCAGAAGTAAAGTAGAAACGAATATAGGATTTTCTTGAGATACAACTACTTAGGAAGTGATCACTTGGAAAAATGAAGACACGCGAATTTATAGCCGAGGGTCTTGGGACGTTATGTTGAGAAGGCGTGAATTCGCTTGAACCAACTGGCTCTGGTCCGTGTCCAGTGAAATGTTTTGGCGTTAACGGTGTTCAAGTTGTTCCAGCAGAGAGCACAATTGACTGGAATTCTAAATCGGCGTAGAACACTAGCAGGAGACACCTGCATTCGGTTACACTCTGGTGCGCTTAATGCACTGGATATTGCTTGAAGGGCAAAAGGAATTTGACTTGAAAAACAAAAGAGGATTCATTCACCGAGACTACAAAGCTATTGGCTGGATTTTACCTAAAAGATGTCGAGCGACAAGGAAGTAATGAAACAAAAGAGCGTGTGAAAAAGGAAAAGGTGACACACCGAAACATTTAATGGAAGAAACATCCATCAGGTTTTTTTCGCTCCTGTAACGAACTGTCTGTTGAATGAAACTATTATATTTCCTTTTAAAATCTGAAGCATATTTCTAGAACTGCTTACATTAACTTTTAAGGCATATCAACAGATTTTAAACACCTCTGCATAATAATGACTTTAACAGATTTATGAAAATATGAGACAAGCTCCATACTATCTTGCAATTCAGATTAAGTTTTCTTAATAACACATCGTGTGTTGACGTTTAACGAACTTCCCTTTCGCAAAGAAACAAGCCTATGTGATCATGAAATCTATTTATGTGTCTCTTTCAACTTTTGAATCAGTTTACCGATTTGCACAAGATTCCAAAAACGAATCTCAAAGACATATAGAATGAGGTTGTGGGCTGGATTTATTTAGCACAGGACATGGATAAAGAGTAGAAACTTCCGGTTCCATAAATGACGAAGAATTTCCTGACTGGCTGAATGACTATCAGCTTCTCAAGAACTCTGCTTCGTGGAGTCTGTTAACAGAATCTCTCGAACCCTCAAGACATTTAAAATTAGAACTCCGGAACTGAACTAAACCGACTGTAAAGTGTAGCCAGCTCTCTTGCCAGGGGGAATTAACAACACCGGTCCCGTATGTCCGCCTGTCCTTAAACAGAGCTTAACGGAATTTGATACAGTAAAAACTTCTAGTACGTAATGGAATTTTAAGCTAAATTGCATCCCTGAAGTTCTACTTTCAAGAATATAGTAGGGAGCAGGCCTGTATCTTTTAAATTCTGAAGCCAAAGTTCTCCAAAACTTTTGTCCTTTGTGTCAGGTATGTCAAATTCGCTTGTGCTTTTGAGGTAGCTTCAGAATTTTACCTTGTGGCTCGGGCTTCATAATCTAAGGAAGGTGTGGAGAGTGTAAAGATGACATTGGAAATTTAATTCCTCGTTGGAAACTTTAACCGTAATAATTTATTATTATTTAAAATGTTTTGTTTTAAATAATTTATCCCAGGAACAAAAAATGTAGAAGAAGCACTTCAGTTTACACTACGATAAATGTCGCATTTTCATGGCGTTGTGACAGTGCCAGTCAGCGCAGGAACGGTGAAATGATCGGCTGTGTTTCACTTTACAAGCTTTTATTTCGAGTGTGGGAACAATGGTAGACTCTCCGTGTTTCGACATCATTAATTTTTTAGAAGAATTTAAAAAAAAATATCCATGTTTGTGGGACAAAGTTCATCCGGACTTCAAAGAAAGGCTGAAGAGGCCCTTTAACAAAATTTGAAAGGGCAACCATGCGAGTCATTTCGCGTAGAACACACTGTCACGACCTCAAATATCGCGACTTCAAAAGTCAGATGCAAACGATCCTTTAGTTTTCACTCTGGTTAAGTCACGACATTGCGATGGAAATGTTATCTAACAATCAAACTCGGTTTGAGTCCGCGACAATGATGTCGATGTCATGGCATCTCGATTTTGAGTTTTTACGATAGGTTATATGTCGTGGAGTTGGAATGCCCTGGCCGCTGGGGAAAGAGCCCCCCCCCCCCCCGGGTTTTTTTTGAGGCTAGGTGGGCACTAGGGCCGATGTGGGGTAAGAGAAGAATCTCTGCCCCTGCTGGGAATCGAACCCTGATCGTCCCGTCTGGATCAGCCGCCAATTTGAAATACTGCAGAATCCCAAAGAATAATCACCGTCTATTTCCAGCCACTTCTGGAAGTTCTGGGTATTGAACCTTTTGTTTGTTTGTTTTTTTGGTTTCAGGACCATATTTTTCCACACATCCTTTCCAAGACTTTTGCTCTAGTATCTTCACGTATTGGGTTTCCTTACATTGCGGGATAAGAGGGGTGTGTGTGGAGGGAGGGGAGCTGGTATCTGACAAAGCTTCTTGCCGGCGAAGCAGGAAGGGTGAAACGTCAAACTACGCTCAGACGTGCTGCTTGCTGGAGCTCTCGCCAGGCGTGTCAGATTCTGTTCGTAGCAAAGTTAAAGAAGCATGAGGGAAATCGTGCATCTACAAGCCGGCCAGTGCGGCAACCAGATCGGTGCTAAGGTAAGCTGAGGCCCAGTTAATGCGCAAACTTTTCATTTCCTTAGTTTCTGTAGGGCGAATGTTCGAATAGTTTTAGTTTGGTTGCAATGTCACTGCTTCCGTTGTCACATACATTATCATTTTAATGAAACGCGTAATACCCTTACTGTAGTGAAAGAAACATTTGAAGACGTGTGAGTAAGCTTGGAACTTGGGGACATGCACAATCTATAGTAAATTCGCTGAATGTTGCGGTAGAATAGTCAGCACGCCTGTTTTGTATGCCAGATATCTTTGGTTAAAATCTCTGCCCGGTGTCTGGCTAACCTGACTGAGGGTTTTCGTGATATTTTCATTTTTCACATTATTCGCCATTCAACATTCACAAATGGCCCCATTTGACGATACATGACCCAAGTTTCTGATAAGGCATCATTACTAACCGGAGTCAATTTACGTAAAGTTGAAGCTTTCTGTCTTCTGGGTTGTTGCGCTGTGTAGTATGGTTGATGTTTACCAACGTTTCAGAGGTCATACTGTCTCCGTCATTAGGGTAAACATCGACTAGACTACACAGCGCAACAACCCAGAAGACAGAAAACTTCATACTCACCGCTGTGAAAACCTCAAATCTTACTTACGCAAAGTTCCTTAAAACTTATTTTAAAAACACCCTAGAAGTTACTTAGATGGGAGGATATTAAAGGATGTTTTAGGAAAATAAAGAGGTTCATTTGGCAGATTTCTGTTATGATGGCGCTGAATCCTCTTGACCTGTAACAGAGAATGTTCTCCAGGTAAACAGTAGCCTTGGTTTATAGCCTACATCTTGGACGACGTAAAAGTTGATTACTACATTTAATTGATTTGAGAACCATTGTATAATAAAATGATGTAGAATGCGAGGTTTGTATCATATTTTGACCATAAATATATTTGGTAGTTTACTTCAAGAAGTTTTAAGATTTGGCAATGCCCGTGTTATCTTTTTTCAGAGATTGCCCAACACTGATCACTAGGAATATTAGTTGTGCTGAGTAACATTTAATATGTTTAGCGGACTACAGTCCATTTTCCATTGTAACTCCGATTTAGCTAACACTTCGCCTTCGTCCTAGGTCCTCAAAGAGATCCCTCCCCTTGAGGGTTTTCGACTAAACTCGGTGTGGTTTTGATGAGTTAAAAGTGGCCGGTGTCCACCAGTTTCTTCTTGGTCTTGTAAATCGCGGTATGTCTGAGGATCGTAAGGTTAAGCGACGGATTTCTGTGCTAGTATTTATGGACGCTAGTGTAATACAAATGTGTCGTAGTATAAAGAGTCACAACTTATTAAATTCCAAGGATGCCTCAACGAGGCACGATTATTGAATTAAGAGGGAGCAATGCTTTTGTGTGGTTCAGAATTTGGTATTTGACAACTTAATAAACGGTCGAATTCTGTCAATTAAAAGACGCTAATGTAGGTATATACTGAAACAGTGCTTATAAAGAAAGCTATTTTGTCTACCTAAAATTATTTAATTTGTATTGCGAGAAAATTCGGCACACCACATGTAATACATCCTTGTTCTATATAATTAGGTTGAGGCAGATTTATTAATATATCGGAATCACATTGTTCTCTTATTGATAGCGATGCAAAGGGTGACGGGACGTTTCGTGGTCCTTCAGCGCCAATAAATAGAATTAAATAATAGTTTTTTATTAGGTAAAATTTGTTTCGAAAGAAACATTGTCCCGAGTGTTCCGAAAGAATAAGAATCTTTTGTTGTATTTGTGCCCAATTTCATCAGAATCTGACAGGCCCGTTTTTTTAAAAAAAAGTATAAAAGCCTATGAATCAGCGTCTTCGAATGTTCTGGAATGAAATCTGTTTTGAAAAGAAGCTTGTCCCAGTGTTCCGTTACGAAAGCAATGCTGTGTGTATTGCAAAACCTGAATTCCAGCAACTGGTAGGGGAGGAACATCGTTTGATAATAGGACCCTACAGCTGCTTGGGGTTACAGGGGCGCTATTGGAACAAAATCTCTTGTCGTGCGAAAACTAAGCTGAAGCTGTAAGAACCTTTGGTGGTGGCCTTCTGGTATGTTAACGCCGTGTGGATCTGCAGGTGGTATACCAACGTTTCGAAGGAATATACTACTACATCTTCAGGGCTGAAATGGAGGCATTGTTTTTCTTTCTTGATAAGATCTTGTTGATACGGTTTTCAATAATTATACCAGTGTTTAATAATTTTGTAGGATGATTTGTATATATCAAGCTTTGTTAATGTCATTTTGAAAGGAGCTAAACCAAGAGTTTTTAATCACAGTCGCGTTTAAATTTATTGTTCTCGTAGAATGAAACATTGTTCAAATTCTACTTTTAAAATTCAATTTTAGACCAATTTACATGGATTTATATTAATATTTCGTTTCAAGAGAACCAATATTTTTCAAATAAAATAAATATCTTAAACCACTAATACTGTTGATATACGATGAAGGAGTAATAACAGTTATTAATTTGAAACTTTTATATTCCGATGCTAATTAAGGAAATTATCTCCCTTGGAAAACAAGAGTGAGTAGCTCTGCGTGGTGGGGGAAAAGCTTAGACAGTTGTTTCAATACAAAAATCCGTATCACCGCCCTTGACTCTTAAGATACTGACGTAAATGGAAATCTTCCTTGTTTTGTTCATATGAAATCGCAGTTAACAGGTCTGTCTGCTCTAACGGAGTTTGACTGACAACCAGATTAGTGTTCAGAAGTCAACATTGTAAGAGCAGTTTTATGTTTAACTATAGATGTGATAAGGATGAGTTGACGGCTGAGATGAACGTTGGTGTGAGGCCAGAAATCATGCAGGACTTGGAAATAAAATAAAGCTTCATCTTTCATTATGAATTATTAATATGTTCTAATTTTACTAATGTGAAAGGCTTTGAAAATGTTGGGAGACATTTGGTCAGCATTTCTTGGAACCTTTGATCAGCGACTCTTGGGGGAAAAAATGTGTTTATTGAAAAATAAATAACTGCTAGTTTCTAAATTATACGTTTCCCATGTCAGTTTGCATGTTTTATAAGTTTGTTTGTTGTCTCAAAAACGGCTTATATTAATATAATTATTGAAAAATTAGGTTAATCAAATATATATCTAATTAAAATATAAATTGGTCTTATCGAAAATTTTATTTCTGTGTTGAAAATATTAAGCAACAAAGATTTAGTACAAAAAATAATCAGTGTGTGCCGTGTGAATCGCTTTGCAACAATTATGGTTAAATCTTAACTAAGTTCTTTCATTGTTTCCGTTCAGTCTTTTCAGGTTTAAGTGCTTTATTCTTTAGTTGATTCAGGTGCATGCTCAGATTTAATCGATTTGTATGTGAAATAATAGATTTATATAAAGACCAGTGACTTGTGGAAGAAAACAAACGCGTCATCACTTCAGTGAATAACACGATTTCCCGTCTTGTTTTATATTTTGTTCAGACTGAGATGTGTTTCTGGTGATCTCACGGCAGAGACTGAAGAGGTCAATATCTGGGAACTAGTTTGGAATGAATGACCGCTTTGATTATATTAACTAATCCAGTTCTCCCTTCACGGTACCCAAAATATCCCGTGAAAGATAATCACAATGCTTACACACGTCGTTCAAATGCTCTCGTATTTCTCTTTTTGCCCCTCCATTTCCTGGCTTTCAGTTATATTAAGTCGTCTGCCTAGAATGCTCTCGGAAGATCGTGTTCTTATTCTTTCCTGTGTTACCATGATACATAAACGTCGTATTTTGAAGCACGAACTATAAGTTGTAAGATTTGAGGTTTTCACAGCAGTGAGTATGAAGATTTCCGTCTTCTGGGTTGTTGCGCTGTGTAGTCTGGTCGATGTTAACCAACGTTTCAGAGGTCATACTGCCTCCATCATCAGAGTATGAAGATTTCTGTCTTCTAGGTTGTTGCACTGTGTAGTCTGGTAGATTTTACCAACGTTTCAGAGGTCATACTGCCTCCATCATCAGAGTATGAAGATTTCTGTCTTCTAGGTTGTTGCACTGTGTAGTCTGGTAGATTTTACCAACGTTTCAGAGGTCATACTGCCTCCATCATCAGAGTATGAAGATTTCTGTCTTCTAGGTTGTTGCACTGTGTAGTCTGGTAGATTTTACCAACGTTTCAGAGGTCATACTGCCTCCATCATCAGAGTATGAAGATTTCTGTCTTCTAGGTTGTTGCACTGTGTAGTCTGGTAGATTTTACCAACGTTTCAGAGGTCATACTGCCTCCATCATCAGAGTATGAAGATTTCTGTCTTCTAGGTTGTTGCACTGTGTAGTCTGGTAGATTTTACCAACGTTTCAGAGGTCATACTGCCTCCGTCATCAGGGCGATGAATCGTTGGTTAACATCGACCAGACTACACAGCGCAACAACCCAGAAGACGGAAATCTTCGAACTACAAGTTGTTTTTTGGCTTCTGCAGGTGTGAGGATTTTATTTTCCCATTTATGTACCCATTCTTGGTCGGGGTTTTCTTCAAACAAACGATACATATTGAAATTATGAACTTGCGTATTTATTATGACAATCTTGCAGAGCCTATAGATTTGCGTTAACAAACATATCGATGTTGGTCTTCTGGGTTGTACTTGGCATTTCTTGACCCAAAAAGTTGGTCATAAAATGCCAAAATACTTACTGCATTTTTAAAACAATTACTGAACTGGAAGTAAGAGAACCTTTTGGTTTACTGACGAGCCTGTCTGATTTTTATTCGTAATGTTTCACTGTCGAGGCATACGTCATTAAGATTGAAGTTGCTCTCAGTTCCTTCAGTGTGCGTGCTGTGAAAGAGGCCATTTATAAAACAACCATTTTCTGTTCTACTGGAGACAAAGGAGTTGGGGCAAACAAAGAAACGACAAAGATAATAGAAGCGACCAATCATGAATTTGAACAGTTTAGTAAGTGTAATGACATTCCGCAAATATATATGTCGTTGCCCCATTTACTGGTTCAAGAAACAGAGG